GTATGGTCGTGTCGGACCGTTGTAGCAGAGGTTGTGGTGGTGCACCAAGGGGGCGACTTAGGGTGTGCGCCATGAGCGACTTATACATGATACTGTGTATAACCCCCCCTCAAACTCAAATAGGTGTGAAGATAGAAACCTATTTGAGGTTGAAACAAAGGGATTGATAAAGCTGACCGGTGTAGAAGACACTGTATGAGTGTGTATATAGGCTGCCCAAAAGATATACATGGATATATATAGTGAGCCCTCAAAAGTCGTGCCATCAAAAGGTGTGCCTAATTCATCAAAAGGTGTGCCGGACATGATGGCGAGGCACGTGGGCGCCTTGGCTTGCGTGCCCGTTTGTCGGCTGGTGTCAAGAGGCGCGCGATGCGCGTGGCTGCCTCGGCTATATAACCAAGACTGAACCTGAGGCTGAGGCAGAGGCTGAGACAAGAAACCTGCGAATTTCTCTGAAAAACTCTTCGTTGTGCTGAGAGAGAGAGTCTGTAACACTCTGTTGCGAGAGATAGTCTGTAATACTCGGTTGCCCAAAAAATGGCCTCGTCTTCCCGGAGTCTGCTCACTCTCTTTCCAGACCTCAACGAGTCAACAAGAGAGAAAACTGGTGCGGTGTCCCGTGAACCTAAACCAAACACCACTGGGTTTGCTCCGTTGAACTTTCCGATGCAGTCGGTGGAGCAAAAAATGGCAGTGCAAACGGATGTGGAGGCTAATCAGTATACGTTGAAGGCATGTGTGGAGTCCATGACGGCGGTCACAAACTTGTCGCACCGGCTGCAGAGTAGGACAAATGAGGTGCAGCAATTAAACTCCCAGCTGGCTCTGCTCCAACGCATGTATAAGGATGCGCGAGCAGAGATAAGCGTGCTAAGGGCAGAAAACAAGGAGCTGAAGCGGAAGGCCACCGTGATGTTCCGATTTGGAGGGCCACCAAATGCTGCAGTGGAGGAGTATGGTGGAGTGATCGTGCCCAGTGGAGTGGGAAACACGGAGGCAACACCGTCAAGGGCCGCTCAGGACGGAGGCAAGAAGAAAAGACCGGCGACAGAGTAGAGAAGAAAAATCCTACCTGTGAATGTGGGTGTTGGTGTGTATGTTGTTTTCTTTTGTTGTTGTTGTTGTTGTTGTTTTTTTTTTTTTTGTTGTTGTTGTTGTTGTTGTTGTTGTTGTTGTTGTTGTTGTTGTTGTTGTTGTTGTTGTTGTTGTTGTTGTTGTTGTTGTTGTTGTTGTTGTTGTTGTTGTTGTTGTTGTTGTTGTTGTTGTTGTTGTTGTTGTTGTTGTTGTTGTTGTTGTTGTTGTTGTTGTTGTTGTTGTTGTTGTTGTTGTTGTTGTTGTTGTTGTTGTTGTTGTTGTTGTTGTTGTTGTTGTTGTTGTTGTTGTTGTTGTTGTTGTTGTTGTTGTTGTTGTTGTTGTTGTTGTTGTTGTTGTTGTTGTTGTTGTTGTTGTTGTTGTTGTTGTTGTTGTTGTTGTTGTTGTTGTTGTTGTTGTTGTTGTTGTTGTTGTTGTTGTTGTTGTTGTTGTTGTTGTTGTTGTTGTTGTTGTTGTTGTTGTTGTTGTTGTTGTTGTTGTTGTTGTTGTTGTTGTTGTTGTTGTTGTTGTTGTTGTTGTTGTTGTTGTTGTTGTTGTTGTTGTTGTTGTTGTTGTTGTTGTTGTTGTTGTTGTTGTTGTTGTTGTTGTTGTTGTTGTTGTTGTTGTTGTTGTTGTTGTTGTTGTTGTTGTTGTTGTTGTTGTTGTTGTTGTTGTTGTTGTTGTTGTTGTTGTTGTTGTTGTTGTTGTTGTTGTTGTTGTTAAAAAAAAAAAAAAAAAAAAAAAAAAAAAAAAAAAAAAAAAAAAAAAACAGAGATATGAGAGGGAGAGAGAGAGAGAGAGAGGCACAAAGACTTATTATTACCTTTCCCTTTGGTTTTTCATGAAGTTTGGACCTTGTTTAAGAAACTCAGTAGTCTCTCCAAAAACTGGCCAACCCATTGTACCAGGAGGCAAGCCTTTCTTCATGTACCTGATCTCATTCCATCTCAACAAAGCTGTGCAAACAGAGACTCCCAATACCACCCCAAGAAGAACCACCATGAACACAGCCATTGTTGCTCTCTCAAGATGCTCTCCAAGTCTAACCCAATTCCAAGAGAGCTGTAAATGAACAGTGGTTCGGAGGACAGTAGCATAATTTTCCGAGAGTGGTTTTTCGAGAGCTGTGTCTCTGTTTGTTTGTTTGTTTGTTTGTTGTTGTTGTTTTTTTTTTTGGTAATAGAGGTAGTTTTTTTTTTCATGTTGCACTTCATGGGTTTGCAGAGAGAGGGAGCTCAAGAGTGGGTGTTGCGGAGGAGCAACAGCTGGGGCGGTGGCCGGAGAAACAACTGGCGTGGTGACCGGAGCCGTAGCTGGAGGAACTGAGATCGCTGTAGGCGGGGCTGAAGTTGGAGCCGTCACGGGAGTTTTGGTCGGAGAAGAAGAAGAAACTGAGCCAGCATCTTGTAGAGAGAGACAGTTTGCATGATCTCCAACTCCACAAGTGTTGCTGAGGTGTTCTCGAGGAGTGATCATAAGTTTGATCTGATGTATGCGAAGAGGGCTTTTGTGTACTGGTATGTGGGTGAAAAGTATGGAGGAAGGAGAGAGAGAATTAGAAAATTTGGGTTTGTCCGGCGGACGGCCAAGGTGAGGCTGCCGCCCGCCGGTGAAGCAGAATTACTAAATTCTTAACCTTGCTCTGATACCATGTAAGAATTTATGTATTATTGATTGATGTATTGATTGATATATTACAAGATTGTTGTAAATATTTCTATGTTTACAAGAGAATTAGGTCTCTCTCTTTATAGAGAGCAGAAGGATACAATGGAGTACGAAGCCATAAGGTAATATATTACAATAATATCAAAGTGGAATCTAAAGCTGAAAGTGGTAGTGGGTGTTGGCTTTACAGCTCCTAATGCACTGTGATGTACATTTACAGCTACTAAGGCATTATATGAAAGTATATTATATGTTAACAGTGTAAACAATGAGGGAAAAAAAAACCAACAAAAATTTCCTCAATTTGAGTTCATGTGTTTTTTTGTAGGCCATTATGCTACTATAGACAATTCATTCACCCATTAACATCATGAAAAATTGAGCACTTATGGTTACAAAATGTTGAGATATAAGGTCTGTATACTTACTCAAATATGCATTTGCAGTAGCAGGAAAATCTGTTATGACCCCATCAACTTCATGCGCAAAATAAGTAGCGAGCTCCACCATGGGATCCGACAATAAATCAAATACCAGACTCACAAACTCATTCCTAAAAGGAAAGGCGTAGACAGAGATATTTGCAGCATGCATATCGTCAACGACACTTGTGAAAGCCCTGGCGAACGAATTAGAAAATTTAATAATAGAGGTTTTCTCAACAGTAACTGCATCAGCATACTTGCGAATTTCATCCACTGTCGGTTTTGGTGCAGCGCTTATTGTCTCATTAATGAGCAATACCTTTTGGTAATTTGGGTTATGCTTAAACTTGGATAGAACTTGACTGTCATCGGACTGAATCAGTACCTTTTGAGTATGTTGTTTGTCGAAGGTGGCATTGATTAAGGCATTGGCAACCACATCTGTTATGCTAAGACCCTTCTTTGATGCTAGGTAGGCAGCATTCTTGGAGAGAAAGTGTAGGTGTTAAAACTAGAGATGAAGATAAACAATTATATCAACAAAAAATGAAGATAGAAAGTTATAGGGGAAGCATCATATATATACATATATATCCATTGTGTTCAAATAATGTGGTTAGTTTGAAATGGTAACAGAATGCAAGTTTAAAAGTGTTGACATAGACACATCGACTAGAATTTTTTTTTTACATGTAGGACACGACATGTTGGTGATATGCACAAAATATAGTCTTATAAAGTTATTATATGTCAGGTACATGAATATTTAATTCAAATATAATAACAAAATACAATGGAATACTAATTTCTAAAAGTCTAAGGAAGGAGAATATGTATTTTTATCATTGGACCTAAGTTATTTATTCAAATTTATAATGTGTTTATGTGTGTCTAAAACAGATACATATGTTCCCCAAGTGTCCGACGTATATTCAAAGTCAGCAAAATTTTTAAAAATATCAGTACATGTTTGGAAATGTATCCAACAGGTGTCGAGAAGTGTCAGATGATGAGTGTCATGTCGTTTCAATGTCTAACATGGCACACCACCTTAGAAGTGTCTGTGCTTCTTAGGCAACAATAAATAGAGAAAGAACTTACTTGTATGTTGATCAAAATTCCAGTAACTGCCTTGGTCTGTGCAATTTCTAAGAATGCCGATAGGGTCATGAATCTACCCTTGTTCGAGTTTGCAGGGTCTCTTTTCAAGCCAGAGTGTAGATAAGGGCTTGTTAGTTGAGCTGAAACGAGAAATTTCACAGTTAGTGGGATATTTGAGGCCTAAATTTGTTAAAGCTGTAGGTAGCAAAATTCTCTTTTTCAAGTTTATTTACGCTTCAATGTTTGAATCTCGCTCCAGGTGAGATCAAATGAGAAAATTCCATTGTCCTTTTGAATTTCAGGAATTTTGGTTAATCGTTCTAAGAAATCTCGCAGTGCATTAGTTTCTCCTGACAGGTCAGCTGAATCCAAGCAGAAGGCAACTCCATCTTTTGACATTTGCACGGAGCAATCAATAATGTCTGCTCCATCATCTATGGCTTGTTCATAAGCAAGATCAGTGGAGCCAGGGTAAATCCCGCTTGCTCCGTTGTGAGATATGATCAAAGGTCCTGCAAAGGCACAACATTAATTTTAGAATGAATAACTTGTCCTTCTATTTTGTATTGAATCTCCAATGTAAAATAAAATCAAATTCAAAATAAATTATGATTAGTTTCTTACCTTTGGCCGGCCGGGTAGCATTCTGGCTGTGAGCTAAGCATGCTGCATCAGAAAGAGCAGGTTAAGGTTAAACTAGGAATCAAAACAAAAGAACAATTTAGGTGATGTTTGGATCTTGGATTTGTTGAGGGAAAGATAAATGAAAGGAAATAAAATTACTCATACATACTCATTTTTAATAGATAACTTTAAAAAAAGAAAACGAAAAATTTACTGACAAGTATATATTCACTATCTTTTCATTTTCCTAACCCAACCAAAAAAGAGAGAAAAAATAGCTCCTACTTCATTTTTCTTTTCGCCTCATAAATCCCCCCACAAATCCAAGATCCAAATAGAAAGACAATTTAGTCTATGTTTGGATCATTTGATTTGTCAAGGGAAAGGGAAATAGAGTTACTTATAAATACTCATTTTTTATAGATTACTAAAACAACGCCGCCCAATTAGTACACATTAACAAAAGAGTGTTATTTGACAAATATATTCACTATCTCTCATTTTCCTAACCCAACAAAAAAGAGAAAGGGGAAAAAAATACTTCTACTTCATTTTTCTTTTCCTGTCATCTCCTTTCCTTTTCTTTTCACCCACAAATCCTAACACAATCCAAGATCCAAACACAGCCGTAATTGAGGGTTTGCATAATCAGGAGTAGGGACTTTATGTTTTCTCTGATATGCTCTATTTTGTTGTATTGCATGGTTTGTTCTCTTATCCCTACTCAGTGCAGCTACTTGGAGAAAAATGAACTTGAAAACATGTAAAAAAGAGAGCAAAAACTAGTCTCACCAATTGATTCAGATGCGGTGGAAGGAAAATCTGTGAGCACCCCATCGACAGAAAACTGAGAATTATCGATAAAGTGCAAGTACTCGGCTGTTGGATCATAGCTATAATTGTAACTCATAGTTATATCATTTGCAAAACCAGAAGCATATACTTCTAGACCTTGCTTGTGAGCATCGGTAACAAGAGTAGTGGCAGGCTCCAAATACATTTCTGTGTTGACAGGCCATACGTATTCTTTCGGAACAAGAATTCCCGATGCAAATGACTTGATATTGGAAAGATTCGCCAGTATTGAACCGTATGTCTGCTTGGTTGTAGGCTCAACTGTGTCTTTCTCGAGGAACCGGAGGATGAGCTTTGTCTTTGCTTTGTTCACTTTTTCATTCAGTGTCTTCAAGAAACCAATCTCAGGAGACGAAATGTAATTTATGCCCATAACTCTTATAGCCTTTTCAACATATAATGCAGGTTCGAGATTGTGTTCCGTGTAGAATGAGGCATACTGCAATAGATAGCATAAAAAAACAAGGCTAGTATGTATTGAGGTATTTGTTCACCTCTTACCAAAAAACAAGTCATTTAGGCTGTGTATGGATCAAGGATTTGAGGAATTTAAAAATGAGAAGGAAAAAAAGAAGAGAAAAGTAAACAAAATTTAGCTTACATTTCATTTACTTTTGCCCTTTACTATTTTCTTTCCCTCCATTTCATTCACTTTTACCCTTCACTATTTTCTTTTCCTCCACAAATCCTTCCTCAAATCCTTGATCCAAACACACCCTTATGGATATTAACAGGAGGGCCACACAGATCCAGTCTAGCCCCCTTTTTCACTCCACAAGAAACAAGATCAAACTGACACTCATTCTCTTTTTGTCAAGTGAAGATAATATTTTTGATCCCTCATGGACTAATGATCAAGTGAAACACAAATTTTTTAGTTCAGATTTCTCTGGTAAAAAAGAAAACAGGATTCCTGATTATTCAGAAATTAATTGAATTGTACGCACTGGTCATTATAATCTTATATATCCTTCTAATCACCATGATAATTCAATTATACATGCACTGTTGCAGATATATTTCAATTTCTAGGCAAGCATATTTTATGAATAATCGGAAGAGGAAACAAGAGCAAGATTAACATAATGAAGTACCTGAACATTCAACCAAAACAGAGGCAGCTTAACGCCTTTTGCATCTTCAACAGTAGATATTTGTTGCACCGCATCAAACACACCTGTCCTAGAAAAGATACCTTGTTTCACTGCAGGGAATTCATATTTGTTTTAACTTCAATTTCATTTCCGCGATCAAATAGACTATTGTTCAAAAAGGCAAGAATGGAGAAGGTAGTGTTGTGAGACTTACAAGATGCATTTTGATATAGTTGATCATATGTATAATCCAAAGCAAACCATCCTTGAATATTCTGTCCATTTACATTGTAGGTTTTTTGTCCATCTGGGAAGGCGTGTGATATATCTGTTGAGTTGTCAAGGTTTAAACTTGTCAAGCAAATACCTCGGCTATCTTTTGTAAGTTGTAGATCACAGAACAAAGTCACATTAGGCAAGCTTGTTGACTTTACAAGTTGAAATGCTTGCAGGCTGGAATCAGGGAAAAGCCCCGAATACCCTCCACGTGCCAGTACAAGAGGCTCGGCCCCTGCACGTGAAAAGGAAAAAAAAAATATTTGGACAAAGAAATGAGGAAACAAGACATAAGAAAAATTGACATGCAACAAAAGAATTGAGTCAAAGATTTCAACAGGAATTGATAATACTTAACAAACTATCGAAAAGAAAAAAACATTGTAAAAAATCTGTCATTTCATACGTACATGCAGGACTCAAAAAGCAACTTGTTCAAAAAAGAAGGGAAAAACAAAAAAGAAAAAAAAAAAGAAAACACAATATCAGAAGCATGAGGTTTTTTTTCTGACCTAGTAGAGCTATTGAAACTTGTGAAAGCAGAATGAGGAGAAAAAAAGAAGTTTCCTATATGAAGAAGCAAAATATTTTTTTTTGCTTTGTTTTATGACCGCTAAAATACTTACCATATATTATTTGAAAGGCGAAATCATTGTTTTCTTCTAATGTATTTTGCTTATTAGGAGAACAAGTTTAGTTATCATAGCTCTAGAATAAAGATGAAATAAAATAGCTAAATTTTGAAGCTTGAAGAGCAATTCTTATAAGCAAACAACCAAACAGATTGAGAAAAAAATATAAAGGAAATACATGTTACCATCGAGAGTCTTCCATGTCTTTGAATTGTTCCCATTCTGTGTTAGAGCGCAATGGAAGAAGAAAGCAAAAAGCAAAGTTCTGATCATTTTCTTCCACTCCTGTCTGAAGAAAACAAAAAAGTAGATTAATATGAGAACAACTCATACACACAGAAAATTTCTTACAGCATGTATCGGTTTTAACAGCATTCAGAATTGCAAAATGTCAACTATACAGTCAATGGATTTGGCTACACGTTCCATTTCTTTTCAAGATTCTGAAATTGGCTACTGTTTTTTGGCAGGGGAGAACCATATATTGAGATGAGATTTCAGTTTTATGGTGTGTTTGGTTGGGGATTTGGGGAGGAATTTGGAAATGGAAAGGGAAAAGGTGCGTGAAACTATGTGAAATATATACATATTTTATTCGCATTTCACCTACCTTTTCCATTTCCCTTTCCAAATCCCTCACCAAATCCCTCAACCAAAGAAATAAATCCAAATATTTCCAATTCCTTTTCCTGTTGGGTAGAATTGGTTAGGATAAAAGTGACGAAAAAGTAAGAGAGATTAAGAAACAAATATTTTCCCATATTTGTTTATAGCATGAGAAGGGGGGGAAATGCAAGAAAGTTCAAATTTCTTTTACAACTCATCAAAATTACAACTTTACATTCAACTTCTCGCAAAAAAAAAAATTCACATGAAAGTAGTCAAGTGTTTATAACTTTCTCACAAGAATTTCATCTTAAACAATTACATACTAAAAAATAAAATTTCCTACTTAACATAAGCATAGGGTATAATAAAAGTAGAAATAAGAAGAAACAACCAACACACGCACAAAAAAAAGATTATGTTAATACATTTTGCATTAACATACTTTTTTAAACTCATTGTGGGTTTGAATGGATCATACCTACATTTTCCACTTGGGTGTATTTTCAATTAATGTCATGAAAAGATCAGATTATAAATGCAAATGTGGTGGTATCTTCTGATTATTTTCAAGTGAGTTAGATAAAACTCAAATGTTCACTCCAAAAAAAAAAAAATCAAAACAAACCTTGAGTCACATCCATATATAGAGGTTTACCAATTTATATTTGCTTTTTTCCATTTAATTGGATAATAATTCTAGTTTCAAAGAAATGCATTTTGCACTTAACTTCAAAAAGAATCAAACAAAAAACAAATAAACCAACAAAAAGAAGAGTAATAGAACTTACTTGAATCTTGATGTGTAGATGGAAGAGAGAGGAGTGAAGAAACTCATAAGGGAATGCAGTGAGAGACAGAAAGAGAGGTTGAGAGATTAAAGGCGTTTCTGGGATTAAAAGGGTGTAAAGTTTTCATTTATTACTGGAAATTAATGCTTTGTGGGTCATTTAATTTGGACTAACAACTATGTTTGCTCCTTCTCAAAATAGAGATAAATTTCTTACTCTGTATAGTTCCTGGGAAGTTGACAGCTCCTTTTTAACTGCTTGATCATTGTTGGAAGCATTTTTTTCATTTATTAAATTAGTATTATCACATATATTAAAGTAATCTACTTACAAAAAAAAAAAAAATTTAATATAACAATTTTATATGTCTATATATACAGGGATACATACAAATAAATTAAATTAAATTTTTACTCATATTAATATTAATTTAAGTTACACTTTCATAGTATGATGTAGTTGAAATTATTTTTCTACATTGTGAATGTCACAACATACTTTAAAATAAATTTTAGAGTAAATGACAAATAAATCCTTTAAAATTTACTTAAAATACGAATTATTTCTTATAGTTTTAGAAGTTATATTTTGCCCCTTCAAATTTATAATCTCATAACAAATGGCCTATTTAATACATTATTAAGTCAACTAACCGTTTTTAATAATGACAAAATTACATTTCAATTAACAATTTTTGTAATTTTATTGTTATATATGAGAGTAGTTACAAATTTTATTTTTTTGTTAATTTTGTAAAATAAATTTTTTCTGACAAATGGATATTTGTAATCTCTAAATCACATGAGATAATCTGTATTTGTATCAATAGATGCATTTATAATTTACCTATAATTTTATATATATTTTATATATAGAAATACACATAAATATTTAGGAGTTTTTTGGGATGACCTAAATAAGTGTACTTTTTATCTTTTTACGAAAAGATGTGCAGAAAAGTAGAGAAGTGATGTGATGAAAAAAAAAGATAAAAATATGGATTATTTTAGAGTTGCCAAACTTGGCCTTAATTAATATTATCACATATCTATACTATATATTAAGCAAAAGGAGGTTTTTAACCCCAAGTTTTGTGGGAGCTCCAATCTCCCAATTTAAATTTTTTGATTTTTTGATTTAAAAAAAAATTAGCATTTATTAACTTCTCCCAACCCCTAAGTCTTACCGTCATAATAACACTTTAATGCATTAAGAACAAGCATAATTTTTTTTTTTTGGAAATCTAACACATGAATTCCTTGAAAAGTCCCAACACATATGATTATTATCTCTCATAATAACATTTTAATGCATTAAGAACAAGCATAAAAATGATTTCTTGAAAAGTCCAACACATATGATTATTATCAAAATATTAAACTTTAATATAATTTAATAAAAAAAAAGAAACATTTAATTCATTGAAAAGTCCAACACATATGATTATTATCAAAATATTAAACTTTAATATAATATAAAAAAGGAAAAAAAGAAGGCATTTAAAAAAAAAAAAAAAATTTAAAAATCGCAATTCACATATATAGATAACTAGCCTATCAACCGTGCTATGCACGTAATAATTATAGATATTTATATTTGTGTTAGATTTTTTTTAATATATAAATTATGTTTTTTAAGATTTTTTATAAAAATAATTTAACAATCTTATCACTAACCATAGTGTATGGGAGAAGTTGAAAAGAGTACTACAGTAACTATACACCGGTTATATCTATAATTATTTGTATGAGGGGATTTTAAATGCTAATCAGAAGATTTTGACCAAATCAATAAATGCAGGCATGTGGAAAGACATGTGGATTGAAAAAAGTTAATAAATGTTGATCAGGAAATTTTGACCAAAGCAATAAATGCTGAGTTTTTGTTTTTAATAAAAAATTTAAAAAATTCAGATTGAGATATTGGAACTCCCACAGGCCTTGGGGGTTAAAAACCTCCATTTTGCTTAATATATAGTATAGAAGTATAGATTGTAAATATATTAAGGAAAATGGGGTTTCTAAACCCCAAGCCTTGTTGGAGCTGCAATTTCTCAATCTTAACTTTCTAAATTTTTGATTTAAAAAAAAAAAACCTTAGCATTTATTGATTTGGTCAAAATTTCTTGATTAGCATTTATTAACTTTTTTCAATCTACATGCCTGCATTTATTGATTTGATCAAAATCTGTGATTAGAATTTAAAATCTCCTCATACAAATAATTATAGATACAGCCCATGCATAGTTACTACAGTAGCATTTTTAATTTCTCTTGTACACTATGGTTAGTGATAAGATTGTTAAATTATTTTTATAAAAAATCTTAAAAAATTTAATTTATATATTAAAAAAATTAAAACAAATATAAATATCTATAATTACCCCGTGCATAGCACGGGTCATGGGTTAGTATTAATCTAAGTTAAAAGGAGATATCTATGATATTTTCTCAAAAAGTTAAGAAGTGTTCTCTTATTTTTATTAAATGATAAGGGAGTTTGTGATATCAGTATTTATAATATAACTTTCAAGTGTCAATGGATATTTGTGATATATTAAAAAGTTTGTAAGTGTCTGTATCAAACGTTAAAGAGTGTTAATGTACCCTTTTTATTTTGATTTAGCAAATTGACAGTAAAATAATAAATAAAAATATTACATTATTTCAATTGGGAACCAAAAATATGATATTGGGTCTGAAATCTTCTTTTAAATATTTTTTTATTAAGTTGACTAAGATTACATAAAAATAGTAAAACATATCAATTATATTATTTTACTTTTTTAAATGCAAGCAGTAGAAGAGATAATTTTGAAAAAATATAAGTATAAAAAACAAGCAAACAACGTTGTGATAACATAATGAACCAAAAAGAAACATTATTTTAAGAGAAAATTAGTCTAGGTTCCTCTCCCACTTTTCGTAATGAAAGAGATCCACAATATTATTTTTTGATGTCTAAGATCCCTAAACATATATCAGAGAAATTTGTCTTCAAATAGGTCAATTTTTGACTCTTCAGTTGCTGCCTTAGGTTCAGTTGCCATTCTCAATCAATCTCTTACAAAACCTTGCCTACAAGTGATAAACAAATTGATATAGAACCTGAGATAGATTTAGAACTCAAATTTAAAGACTTTTGAACCCTAAATTTTGCAGAATCAAGAATAAATGCAACATACATACATACATACATACATACATACATATATATTTATATATATGCTTGATTGATGGTAGACACAAGAGAATCCACTTACGAGTAATAGCGTATGAACTCTGTGAACGATTTGTCTGCTTGGTTCCACTTTTCACATCACAACTCAAGAAGAGCAACAGACCCATCTCGGATGTGTATAACTTCGGCCCTGGAACAGAGATGGACTAATCTCGGCCATTGTCCAGACCTGCAATATCCTCCACACAAACACCAGCGGCACCTCATAACTGGAGTGATATGGCAGCTGCTTGGAAGATATACACAGCCCAGAGCACCCTAAAAAATGGTAACACCATTACAACACCAACAAAACTCAAAGCAAGCAAAACTAAGCAGAACTCTATCTTTCTACCTCTTAATCAGGTCCAAAACTTCAAAAGTGAGAAGATGAACCTACGAAAGAACAAACTCACATGTTCAATCTCACTCATGGATGAGGAGAAGGAGATAACAGAACACCATTGTTACCAGGGGGAGCTTTCTCTCTCTTTATTTTGAACATCTATTTCTATTATGTTTTTTCGTTTGAACTGAATTTTCTCCAGAGAAATTCTCAACCCAGAGAAAATTCAGTTCAAATGAAAAAAAAATAATCGAAATAGACGTTCTGTGAGCTAAATTACCAGAGAAATTCTCAACCCAGAGAAAATTCAGTTCCATTGCCAAATACTCTTGGAAGCTTGCAATTCATTGTTGCACTTTGCCAAAACTTCTTTCAACATCTTCAGAGAATTTTGGTTAAAACACATTATGAAAACACATTTGATATCATGAGAAACAACATCGTCAGAGAAATTTGGTTAA